AGATATGGAGTCATGAGCTTCAGAATAAGAGATTTCGCGAAATTTACTTCAATGTTAACCTGTCCTTGATAAATGCAGGAAATTTAGTAACAGTTCGTGTAAAAAAAAGAGGTACGTGAGGCTATATAATTTAAACCTTCATGAGCTGTATCTTATCGTGATCAGAAAATTCATCGAGGAAAGGTTTTATAAAAGTTTGAGTATGATTCTGAAAAGAGAATTTCGTATCAGATGTCGATTAATAACCAACGGTCACCACGGATTGCGATCTGAAAACCACTATTCACCTCTCCAAATTGATTGAAAAATATGGCAACCAAGGTAGTGTGACCTTCCAACAAGTCTGTCGTGTCAATTGCCGACTTGGATAACGAACGAGCCTTAATGTTTGGCATGTACAATGCTTTCTACGGATAATTCCAAAGGTAATTTTAGAATGCGAATTCTACGTTCGAACATTTAAAAGATCAAGAGTTACCTGGGCGTTGACTAACTCTGTTTCAGCTTCCCATAGTTTTCCTCCTTCCTTTCTCAATTCATCAAAGTCCTTCCAGTATGGTGTATTGTATTCTTTTAATCTAAAATTGAAGAGGTCGAGATTTTTTCTTTCTAAAAATTTCTTGCAAGTTCGCGCAGTGTAAGTGTAATCCATACAATTTTTCACGATTTTCACGATTTTTCTCGGCATCAAATATGTTTTTGAATCTTTCAATCCATCCAAGTCGTTTCGGTTGTGTTTCTTCTAATTTTGGCGAATGGGCAATACCTAAAATTCGGGAACTCACTTTCTTGGGTTTTGATTTTGAATTTTGTATTGGTTCATTCAAATTTTTCTTTGCCGTGATTCCTTCTATGACCTTATATTGATTGGCATTGGTTAGTTGCTTTCTTAAGGAAAGGAAAGTTGTAATATTCCTTTTGGGAATATTTAGAGAGAGTCGAGTATGCATTTTTGTAATTATACGTATCATGGCAGATTATCAACGATTTTATCAATTATTGTGACACGAGAATTAGGTGCTACACTGCTTGTTTCAAAAATAATGTCTATGCAACAACCATCGTCCCTACAGTCTCTACAGTTGGACCGCAAGTGCAATGGTTGACCATCTTTTTTGCTCTAGTTGTGATTTCACGGGTTACGAAGACGCCCGTCGTTAATAAATTTTTTTTTTAAAAAAACACTCAATAGTCGAATACATTACGTCCATACTTGGCAGCCGTTAGATCTACCTTGACAGCAGCGCTTTGCTTGGAAAATTTTTCCTCGCAAGTTGTGGAACGCCATAACAAACCAGAGGTCGAGGCTAGGTATGTTTCATGTGAAGAATGTAAAGAATGTGATTGATGCCATGTCTTTATTTGTATCTTTCAAACGTTGCTTTCATCAGATCTTCACCGGAGGTTGTGCCAAATGCTCTTACAATCAGCCGAAATGAGAATGAAAAAGTCTTGATAGAACCGTCGGTTAACTCGATTCGAATCAGCATTAAGATTAAACAGGCTGACGAGATTGAGAGAATCTTATGTCATAAGTTTACTAGGTTTATGATGCTTCGAGCCGAGAACTTTATTATTCTCAGAAGAAAACCTATTACGGTAAGCGACAAACAGCAAGAACAAATGTGTATCCTCGTCAATGACCACTCTATTTTGTTGACACCAAAATTTCGGTTCTTATAACATTCAGGGTTATGACATTAGCTTTTTGATTACTAATTTCCACACCGAGCAAATGTACAAACACAAATTAGTGGATTTTATCATTCAATTTATGGAAGAGGTAGACAAAGAAATCAGTGAAATGAAATTGAGTCTAAATGCTCGCGCTCGTATTGTCGCCGAATCCTATCTTTCACAGGTTGGTTGACAAATCTACATTTCTATTGTTTTTGTTATTTAAATATCTAGTAATGTAATAAAATTTTTCCACATCAGTTTTCTTAATGTTTCACGTGCTAATGAAGGGATGATCGTTGATCATTCAGAGTTCATGTTCTTTTTATCTTTGTGCGCGACACCTTTGCCTGTTTTCCGCGAATACAGTTGATTATCTTATCATTCAATTTCATGGACACTCCAAAAACTCTCAGTTTATATGGTACCAATGACGAGAATCGAGCGCTCTCATTTCTTCTCGGCAAAGGGAGTGCGTTGTTAGCCATAATTATATACTAAAAAGGGAAGGTTGTAAGTTAGGAAAAATTTGAAATTTAACAAATATATATATGTATATATGATAGGAGGTTGAAGAAATAGTTTATTACTTACAAGTGGAAAAAGGAGAGCAAATACTCCTGCGCTCAAAAACTGGTCAACAAAGAAAGTTGTTACAGTAAATGTGAAACCTATTTGATTGAGATTTTTTTTAATTGTTAATGTGATGTCACGTGATTGAATTCGGCATTTTGAATAGGACAGAAGAGGTGTCTACCGAAGCCGGCAAAGTAAGACCATCTTTCTTCAAAATAATCTATGCGTTGTTGCAACGTCCACCCTTGATTAACCCATTTATACCTATCAATTTAATATAGACGAGATATTATGAGATATTATGAGATGCGAGTAAACCATCGATGCGTTTTTGCAATTAATTGCTGCGTAAAAATTTGAACATACTCGAAACTATAGTAAGCGTATATCCAGCAGAAATACATGAACGATATCAATGGGCCAAATACGGGAATAGCATAGGCTATCGTGGCCACTGTCAGATAATTCATGAATAATATGGCTCGATAGATGTCATTGGCTACATTTTGCAATAGTCTGGTCGGTATAAGACAACGAACGATGGGTTAGGTTAAAATGGAACGTTCGATCGACCATGATTCAGGAGAACTTCCACTAACCTAGTATACGTTAGCTTCGAATCTATAGGTCGACCATACAGTTGTCGGTAAGCGTGATCGGCTATTTCTTGATACCACATAGCATTCAATGCAAAACTGAGAAGAAATATTGGATATACCCAGCATAACTGAAAAATTAAAATTCATGTGTTCTATAAAGTTCGTTAAAAAAAACAAATGCTGTTGCGATGTAAAGAAAGAAAAAAAAAAACTTTTCAGTACTTGATACATCAAAGCCGCGGTCTTATCCAGAAAATTGACGATGAATGGGGAATGCTCATTACTTCCGCGAATCGACGTGAAGAGTGACGTTCCCAGGATAAAATGTATTATTGGTAGGGTAATACGGTTGAAGAAGAATATACTCCCCAAGAAAAGTACACCGTTTAGGGTAAAACACTTTAAAGTACGATTTCGGATCGTATTGGATCTTTTAGATTTTACGACCCACACATATATAAAGGACAAGAAATTGGGTAACCTATTATAAAAAGTTGACGGAGAAAATAAATTGTGGCATAAACTCTTACCCGTAGATAATGATCAGGCTCGTTGGTAAAGCGAAGGAGTCTCTTAAGCCACACCAAAAGAAACCAAAACATAGTTTTAAAGTTTCTGTGAAATTAAGTTGAGAGACTACTCTAACGGTGGATGAAGGCATATTAGTTGTATTTACATCTGTAAGAGAGTAAAAAAAAAACGTTTTTATTCGAGTATTTTCATTGTATACTGGACGTCCCCAGTTTTATTTTAATAAGTGATCTCTTGATCATGCGTTTGACGATCATGGATCATAAGGTTGAACCGTAGACCCGTAGCTACCAGTTGATTATTAGACGCAATAATCTGTATAATTCGTAAGACAATCAGATTAGTGCAGTATCGACAAAAAAAATGAATATTCTACCGCACAAAAGGTAGGCGCAGGCGCGCCATTCGCTTTGTCTATAAACTGCTTTGTCAATATGGCTCACAAAATTTCCCAAATTCAGCTATCACGTTTACAACCTTAAAAACAAAGAACGTGTTCGTAAAGACGAGGAAAAAGCGCAACAGGAAGAAGCAGCAAAAAATAAGAGAAAGGAAATTGCGGTAATATTTTCTTTCTTTATCCATTCCTTTCTAAATTTTTGTACGAACTTCCTGACCTTGATGTTTTTTTAGGAACGTGAGCGGAGGTTAAAACTTCTTCGCGAAAAAGCTAGTGCGAAACATCAATTAGCACAGGAAGAAACAAAGGAAATAGCGGCCACCGATTCAACGAAAAATGATCAGGTTCTGGCAATTCAAAGTTCGTCGGATGCAACCGACGGTCACATAAACTTCTGGGGTGATATGGAAAAGGTAGTCCTGTCTCGATCTTGAATTCTGCTTTTCCGTGTCACTCAAATACTTATCGTGTTATTTTCATTAACAGAAATTTGCAACCAATCAAGAATACGAAGCGGAAAAAAGGGCGAAGGAACAGAAAATAGAAAGGCAGTTTACAATGTATTTTGACGAAGTATTAAAAGGCATGTTTTTCATCACACTTAAAGGACATGTCGTTTCATATTCTCAACGGTTTTCAATTGAAAAATGCAGATCCAAGACCTTGGTATCTTGGCACCAGTAATCATCATAATGACGACGAAAAGTATTCGATAGATGGAACCATTAAAAAGTAATTCAGTGCATACCGAGTTTTGTCACACATCCCTCCTGTAAATGCGAACTCCTTTATTTTTTTTAGGAAGAGAGATGTGAAAACTAAATCTATTGATGATCCACTACTTGCAATTGAAAAAAGTATGGAAAAAAAGTCCAAGAAAAAGAACGATCCTATTATACATTCTAGATCAAAGGTAAAAATATCACATATTATCTACATCAAAATTTGTTTGGCTTCCTAATCAGTTGGTTCGAAAAATGCTTTAGAACGAAAAAGAAAGAAATTCAATATCGAACGCCTCGTCAACAATTGACGAATTACGCGCTCAGCGAATTGCGAGAGAACGTGAGGAACGAATGCGTACTCTCAAACTCCTTAATCCGCATATGGAAACCGGACCACCGAAAAGTCGTTATAATTCCCAGTTCAACCCAGAGGCTACTGAGGCAGCTCACAATTTTGCTGGTCGACGAAGTAAAGGCCATTACAGATCTGATCATTCTCGTTCACGGAGACATAGACCTTATTAATCTCTCGTCATTATATTAACAAATGCTGCGTGGATTAGTTATATAATTTATATATTATTTATTGTTATGTGATTAGGAAGTGTAAATCTTTTCATAAGTTAGCTGTATAATACAAAAATATACTCAATACAATAAATAAGATTTTTATAAATATAAAATAAAAACTTTAAATGCAATATAAAAAGATATTGAAAATTAAGGTTTTTTTTTTTTTTTTTAATACAGTATAATTTATTACGTAGTAATTTCTCATAACCGAATATACCACGTGATTTGTGCGAGTTATATAAACAGAAATTTTTCGACATTTCAAATATTCGTAGCAAAATGGCGGGAGGCGACCATAATAGTAAAGTATCGTGGGCTCGCGATTTCCTTCAATCGTTTTTTCTTTAATTCTACTACTGAACTTTAATTTAATTAAACAGCCGTGATAAAAGATCCAGCGGTCGAACGTTGGTATAACATGCGCATGAACACAAGGGAACACTTTCGACTAGATGGAAGAAACATTCGCATAGGATTAATATCTGTATTAATTCTTCCCGTCGGTTGTTATCTTTTGGCAGCTGCAAATGACGTTAGTATAAATTCTTTCGTCTAGAGTGAATCCCACATTTTGATTATCTTGAACTGACGGTGGTCAATTATCCTATTTAAAAGGACAAATGGGTGTTTACCGCCAGAACCCGTGGTTCCACTTCACTTGAAGATTATAAAAAGAAACCGGCAAAGAAGGATTGATTTATGGTTTTACACGGTGGTTGTATAGACAACACATATTTTGTAATTACCCAATGTCTATCTTTACTTGTGGCTAGAAGAGTAGAACTCTAGAAATTTCATAAGTCGAATATATGTATTTCTCTTTGCTCAGCAAAATAATGCAGCATTATAAATTAAAGAAAAGCAACAGTAGTTTTAATTATAAAAATCCAAAGCACTGAGTCTGGTAGTAGAGCTTAAGTAAATCTGAAACGTTTAAAAAAAAGTTCAAGTAAAATTTATCTCCTTCTATCCCTAAAGCTTCGACCATCCCTCCTTTCATCCCTTCTATCTCTATCAGCCCTCGGCCCTCCATTTCTATCTCTATCACGATCGCGATCTCTATCATTCCCAATTGCACGATAATTCCTGCCTCTATCACGATCCCTGTTTCTATCTCTTGCAAGGCTATTTCGCCTTTCAATTGATCTAGGTGGCGGGCCATAGAAGATGGCTACATCTAGAAAATCTCCAATAACGAATCTTGCATCATCAAGGTTTGTGCCATCTTCAGAGGATGAGGTCAGGTTGTGTACCATACCTAAATCTTTAAACGTATATTTTCCACGTAAATTATCAACATAAACCAATTTAAATGATAAACGTGCATTTGGTTGATTAGCCTCGCCATTTACTTCTCTGAAAAGATTTGCGATTTCTTTTAAAGTAGCATCCTTCCTGGAATGTGAATCAACAATAATTTGGTGAAGAATAAGAATGCGACGCATGATAAAATAGATTAAATGAATGAGAATGCTCTACCAAGTGTATATTTGCACTTCATTTTCAGTTGGAAGATGTTCGGGCGTATAATCGTCAGGGCTATTTATTTGGAAGGGTGTGTAAAAATAAACGAGCTCACATAATAATTTTGCTAGCAAAAATATTAAAGAAATCATGAATACCGATGGTGGTTGCCTTGTCGCCAAAACATTCGTAATAAGAAAGGAACCGTCTAGATCATGCAAAAAGATGTGAATTAGTAAACTTGTAATGAAGGTTAAAGAGATCTTATTTTTATTAACCTTTTCACGATCGACAACCAGCTTATCTTTGCCGCCGGCGGTTATCCTTGTGTTATTGTTCTGTGCTTCGGCTGCCATTACTTTCGTAGAGTTCAGATAACTTTTTCGCCACCACTTTGAAAAGGGACTCCAGTATGACGCGGTTATGGTGCATATCTGGAACTAGCTTGATTAGGTAAGTAACTCTCAATAACGTGATTGGCTCTTTTAGTGGCCTGTACATGCATTCTCAACGATTTTCAAATTTATCCCGGGATGTCTGTAGATGCTGCGAGTTTGCTTAGTCGCGCTCATTCCGCAAGTGGCTTCCATGGTACCAGTAGTGTTCTTTCGCGTCGCCCCTCGATTTATGGGACAGGAGAAGACAGGATTGTCCTTGACATTGGAAGTTTATACATAAAGGCTGGATTTAGTGGAGAGTCCAGGCCAAGGCATATTGTGCCTGTGTATGCTGGCAACATGAAGACACACTGGGATCCCGATTTCAACGGAAGCGGTGGAGTAGTAAAAGCATGCGGTGAAAGTTGTAGGGTTACTGGCGAGGTAGTTAAATGATTACCAAAAATTTGTAGTTTCCCTGAAAGTCCAAACTAACATATTGTAGTTTGCTGAATTGTTTGACCTAGAAATTGGAAAATATCCCGATGGTTTGGATGCTTTATACGATCGATTGGCACACTATCTTAGGGAAATTTATTTCAGGTGCATAACTAAACATTCAAAGTCTCTTTTTATTATTATTTTTTTTTTTTGACATTGGATTAATTAGAATTTGCTCTTTCTAGATATCTTCTAACAGATCCAAAACAACGCAAGGTTGTGTTATGTGAATCGCCGATGATGCCTTTGACATTGAAGCAGTTGATTGCCAAAGTTTTGTTCGAGAACCTCCAGGTGTCGTATCATTCACCGTAAGATTAAGGAGTGTGGTCGACTAAATTTGATCTTGGATTACAGGTGCCATCAATTTCCTTCGCGCCATCTCATATGTTGGCATTATTAACGACTGGTTGTACAACTGGTTTGGTGATTGATGTTGGAAATTTGGAGACCACCGTGTTGCCGGTAAATTTCAATAAAAAATTGGGCGGCATCTGTGAATTTAGATATTTCGTTTGTTGCTGATCTTAGGATGCTTTAGACCTTTTCGGCTCGCCCTTTGACCCCCTTTATCCGTACTACTCCTTTAGCCGGCCGAGCATTGACCCAAAGGCTCAAGGATCTGATTACAACGTACGGAAATATGATTATACCTCCCTCGACAAATCAGGTGCCCGTTCATGCAAAGTATTTAACACCCTCTGTGTTAGAAGATATTAAAGCGCGATTCATTTTCGTGAGCCCTATAATGGTCTCTGCCGCTTCAATTGGAATTGCAGAAAAAACTTCGGTGGATGACATGGAAGAAAAATATTTGTCAGTCAGTGCTGCAACGGATGTTCACTATCCTATTACCATAAGCAAAGTCGGAAGAGAACGTCAAATGGGAACCCTAATCATACCTGGTTGGATCAGAGAACGTTGTGCAGAGGTACTTTTCGAAGGAGATGAAGATGAGTCTAGTGTGGTCGGTTGTGCGCTGGAGTGCTTGTTAAAGGTCGATATAAAATTTCTCTATTCATGATCAAATCAATATATTATCAATTAAATTAACAAAAAAATCAAATTATAATTTTAGATGCCTATACATCTTCGTCAACCTCTCACATCAGCGATCCTTCTTATAGGGGGTACCACATTGCTTCCGAATTTCCAATCGAGGTTTGCACAAGAACTTTTACGAGCATTAAACACAGATAGGAGGTTCTCGTCTTTGAGTGGTCTTGCAAGTCACATCGACTTCTTGGAAGAAAAGGGAAGCGGTAAAATGTTTGTGGCGAATTGCAGAGCTTGGGTTGGAGGTAAATTGATTGTATTATTTGTTGTATTATTTGAAGCTTATATTTCTTTGATCTGTTAAAATTCGTTTATTGCATAAATAGGATCGCTTATTGGATCACTTAAATCTACTGTTGTCGAAATATCCAGAGAGAAGTACACTGGACAAGTACCCGACTGGACGACTTCAAACTTGACAACAACCTGAGAATTATTTCTGTTCGTTTTGTCGACAGAAAGAACTTTTATAAGAACGTCTTTTTCCCACGATATAACATATTACTAATTAATTGAAATGAGGAAATTTCGTAATTTATTTATTACCACGATTAACCATTATTTTTCATAACTGATTTCTTTCTGTGTACGAACTATTTTGTGTTTTAACATTGTCATCAACATGAGCTTCAATCTTTTTTTCATTTTTGAATTGCATGCGTCATCAAAAAGTAATTAAGAGAATAATAGCAGGCACGATATGATTCTACTTGAAATTCTGACTTAATTTGAACTGCTGTAATTAATGAGGAATGTACGATAACTATCATAGTTTTCAAGGTTGTTTGAACTAATAAAGTGATAATTGGAATAAAATTTGTACTTTGTATAAAATTACGTTATCTAACGTATGATATTCTTTTAGTTATGAGCTAGTTTCCATGACCCTCAAGAATTCGATATCATGTCAACATCCATATCTACTCCTATTTCTGAACTTGAATTACTGCCTCTCCTTTGTTTCTGACGAACGCGAGATTCAAAATTATCATTATCCTCTTGCTTCACTTTTACATCTGAACCATTTTCGTCTTTGCTGTGATCGTGCTCACAATGTTCGATCAGATAGCGACCCAGAAATTCGCACGGGTTTTGCGGCCTTTGAAGATGTCGAATTAGACACGTATTGAGCCCGGATTTTTTTTAATAGAAATGAGATGAAGTGAACGTTATTTGGCGTGTAAAAGATACAGTAGTGTAAGTATATAACTACCGTTCTTTGACCATCCTTTTCATGCCGGCTAGTAGACTCGGCACAACGGTCTTGTTAAAATAATCCCTGACGGCAGTGGAATTCTGTGGGTGACGCATGTTTAATCTTTGTATTTTGTTTCTTTCTTCGTCAAATACTTCACCGAATTGATCCTCAAATTTAAAAGGTGACGGTTGGTCCTCAGAAGGCGTTCCACCGCTCACCTCTACTTCACCTTCTTCACGCTTTGCAGGAGACTGGCAGACAGGATTGAGAAGATCCTGTGAAATATTTTACAACGTATGTCTATATTTTCTCGACAAACTCAAGTTCGACGGGGAACGTAAGGACACGTACTTGAATACTTCTGACCGTGCTTGTAGCGCCACGGTTCTCCAATTCGTTATTACTCGTTTCTGCTGGAGAAGAGTCTGCGAGCGATGTATTATCATAGTCGGCTGGTTTGTACATGGTGTTATTGGATTGTCCTGTCTAACGGATAGTAGTCTGAATGTTTGCTCTCGAACTTGTATTCTAAACATATTGAATCAACAGTTTAAAAAGCATATAGCTTAGCAAGATAAAAATGTGCTAGAATAACGGATTTTTTTTTTTTAGGATTGTCAATACCTGCCTCGCTGCTTCGCGTTTATAGTGGCAATAGGTATATAACGCGGAAAACGGTTATCACTGATCTCACTGGATTGCTGATCACTGGAATGAAGTCTTATAACTTGTAAGGTACACACATAAAAAAAACCATTGTTTAATCTCTAATAGTACGCATTTCCACGATTTTCACGTAAATCCATCCCCAATTTTAACATGTTCAACCAATCGAAGAATTTCATTACGCGAATGTGGAAATTCGCATAAATTCAACTTTGTAACACAGATCATAAAAAATTTTTTTATCAAGAAACCTATTTGTCGAAAGTCTCGGCACAGGACACACATGTTCTCCAGCGTTCGACTTTCTATAACGCCACTGCGGCTTTGCAAGACTGATATATTAAAAGGTTCCGGGAAACTTCCGTCTTTAATGCGTGGTCCATATTTTCGCACGACGAATAAAAAGACTCTCAAACATCTAACGGCAATTCCAAGTAAAAGTTATTCCACCTCAACAAACGATAAAACCTTAGGTGCATCCGAGCAAACGACACATTCCGATTCCGAAACAAAGAAGGAAGACATTAAAGGACCCGAGGACCCATCGAAAAAAAAAATCTACGAGCCCATATCCTCGCTTCTTTCCAGGCCTGCGGTAATATCGAAATTGAACCATGACGGAGCACAGTTTTTGGTTCAAAGAATGCGTGATATAACTGGCGCAATTAAATTCGGCGGTACTCAACACGCGCTCTCCGTTGCATCCAAGGCGTTAAATGAGCTCACAGGATACTCGTCAGTGGAGGGAATGAAAGAAAAGGTGATTCAGCAGGGTAATTTATGTTTATTCTCTTTTCTGCACTCAGAACGCATACTAGATAAGCTCTACAATGTTATTCTTAAATGAATTAAAACAGAAAGAGATTTCATGGCCACACGGCAACGTTTGGCAGAAGCAAAACATGCTTACGAGGAGGCCATCACCAGGCGGTCCACCACACAACGTGAGATCAATGAACTACTCCAACGCAAGCACCAGTGGTCTGATGATGACGTTGTACGGTTTACACAATTGTACAGAGATGAGCACATAAATGAGCAGGCGGAAAATACGGCAAAGGAAGAATTCCGCAAATGCGAACGACAAGTTGAACAAGAATACACCGACCTAACACGGTCGATAATGTTACGTTATCACGAGGAACAAGTTTGGAGTGATAAGATCCGTAGTGCGTCCACTTACGTTACAATCGCTTTGATGATGCTCAACGTAATTCTATTTATTGGTGTACAGACGGTTCTTGAACCGAGGAAAAGGCAAAAGCTTGCAGGTCAATTCGAGGAATTACTTATTAAGAAGACAGAAGAAGAAGAAAATAAATTGGAGAATGGATTTTTCTATCCATTTAAGAAACGACTTGAGACATTGGAGGAAAAAATTGGCCAATTACTACAGTTATCAACAAATCTATTTTACAAGAACTCTGAGAATAATACGAATACATTCGATGTTGGCAATTCAGAGTTGCCCATGACAGAAGAAGAAATTAAATCTTTCATGGATGATTTTGAAAAACCAGTGGATAGTAGTCAGCGTGTAAGAAAGCCAATTAAACTGACACGAGATGAGTTTGACAATATCATACTCATATCAGCTCTCCTGGGGGCATCTATAGGTTTACTTATCAGCGTTATGGTGACCGAGTTATTTAGTAGATAACAAGTGATTACAAACACTGAAATACAATCATAATGATTCAAGTCTTATGATAGTAGTGAATCATTCTTCAGAACCAGACTCGGACGTTTGGCACCGATTATATTCTGTTGTTCGCCGAGACAAAGTGGTGTTTATAGTCAGATCAAACTATAAATAACACTATATTGCTATGCTTTGTATATATAATAAAGAGGTCATTTGCGCGGGCGACCTCCAGTAAGATGGGTTTCTGTCATGCAAAAATGACAGTTTAACTGTAAACGCCAACTTCTATTTAAGACGAATTAAAGAAATTTTACCATATAACATCTGAAGTCCTTGACCTCCAATTGTGCTTGATAAATCATACACTCATTTTAATTGCTCCTTAAGATTTTCTCGCATTTGTATTAAATGATCTCTCATCATCGATAATCTTTCTATCGCAATTCTTTGACGATTCTCATCTGCAGTATCATCTTTGATCGCGCTGTTCCCATTAGTCATCTCATCCCTCGCCTCTTTGATGAGACTTTTCAAAAAAGTGGGTCCGTACACATCAAGCGTGTACCTCGTCTGCGTGAGATATGTCACAACATCCGGTGCGTCCAGAAAATCATCCAAGGCAGCTGATTCTAAATTCATTTGTAAACTACGCGAAAATAATTCCTTGTCGTGGTCAACGGGATCGTAAATTTCACTGGTATAAAGATTGAGATCTAAAAATTTCAAAACCTCATCACCGTCAGATTCCTGATATTGATGTGAATTCCCCATGAAAGAATTATCAAAGGTGGTATCTTGTGGAGGTTTGAGAATTTCCGCGAAACCGTGAACCTCATAAGGATCTATAGAATTCTCCCAGTTGATCCACTCTAGATCATCAACCTTCTGAGGAATACGAAGTCCCGTATTGCGAGATCGCAAAGCAGCTTGTTGCGAGTTGCTTTCCGTCCACTCTTGCATACGCAAAAATGAAGCATTTGGTGTGGAAGAGGAGCCACCTTTCAAACCGTTATCTATTCTACTCATTAGTCCAGATAATTCTGTTGCTGCAGTGGTTCTGCCAAAAACCTCCAAGAGTAACTTTGTGGCAGACGGCGTTGTATTCGCCAAAGATTTGCCCTTGTCCATGGAAGATTTTTGGGTGTTTGATTCTTTGTTTTTGCCTGACATTACATGCGTTAGATATGAATAAAAAGATTTTTGATCATTTATATCATTTATACCATCAACCAATTAAAATGAAAAGACACAATAATATAATAGGCTGAACAGTTTATCACATAACACGATTTTCAAATGTTCGTACCTCGAGCAATCAAGAGAACCTCTACCATTCCCTTGAAACCAAGCAAAAAATCAAAAACGATAAATGAAGAAAATACAAAAACGCAAAGCACATCCACTTCGGAGAAAAGTCCTATTAACTTGCGAATCGAAGTGAAAAAAGAGTATACGTCGGAAGGTGTCTCGGATCCTTCACAAAGAAACAACGTTGTCAATTCTCCAAAGAATTCACCCGAGAAAGATTGCCATTTATCTGAACCAGATGTTTTGCCAGGGGTTGATGTCCCTCGTAAACAACCGACTTGTCAAGGCAAAGTTGGGCACGTGTATGGCGACCCGGAAATTGAGAATGCGCAGGAATCGGACAGCGGTGATCAAGATGCCGTTAAAGAATACAGCTATCAGCAACGTGTACCCTTAAGTGGGGAGCCAGTTTGCGTGGTTTGGTATGACCTAAGCAATTAGTTGAATTGTAAAAGAATGTCAATTATATTTATTTATTTGATCTTTATTTTAGTGGGAAGTATGGCGAGTATATTTGTGATGAAACTGATCACGACGTTTGTAGCAGAGAATGCAAGAAAATTGATATAGAACGAACGAAGGCGAATAATTTTAATCGTTCAGATTTAACTATGAAAGAACGAGCTGTATCCTTGAATAATGCGGTACAAGCGCACTTTCAAATATGCCCTAACATCTTTCACGCACAACTTACTTCGTATATTCCTCATCCTGAAATAATTAAACTTTCAGAGATTCAAGTGAAATCGTTGTTGACAAAAAATCGAATTACTGTTCAGGGTAAAAGCATTCCGCGGCCCATTGCTAGTTTTGCACATTGCAATTTACCGTCAACCATGTCCGACAACTTGCTTGAGTCAGGATACGTTCAACCGACGCCAATACAAATGCAAGTCATATCTGCGGCGTTGTTTGGGCGCGATGTACTGGCCAGCGCACAGACGGGATCAGGTAAAACCGTGGCATTCTTGATTCCGATAATTGTGCATGCTTGGTCGCTATCTCAATTTCACGAAGGTAAAGGAGGTCCTTACGCGGTGATTATGGCACCAACAAGAGAACTATGCATGCAGATCGAAGATCAAACGAAGAAGTTGATAAAGGGTTTAATTAATATGCGGACTGCTCTAATAGTTGGCGGACTGCCAATGCCCAATCAAGTTCATCGTCTTAAAAAAGGGGTACAAATAGCCATCGTCACCCCCGGAAGATTTCTGGATGTGATAAATCAACATGAAGAATTCAATATGAATAATATTCACATTGTTGTTATAGACGAAGTAGACATGATGTTTAAGATGGGATTTGTAAAACAGGTCACAGAAATATTGGGGAAGATGCTCATATCTTCGACAAATGTGTACCGACAGACTCTCATGTTCTCTGCAACGATTCCTGAAAGCGTGGAGAAGCTTGCAAATTCTATGCTTCGTGACCACATTCGCATCACAATTGGCGATCATTCGGGAAAAAATACAGCAAACGACGGAAATTCCACGAACACCTTTCCAAACATTCCAGTCAAACAAACAATACTTTGGGTGGAGAATAAATCAAAAAAGAAGCAGTTGTTTTCCCTTCTAAATGATCCAAAATATTACAAACCACCTATAGTCATATTTGTAGAGTCCAAGTTGGGAGCGGATTTGTTATCTCAAGCGATCGAAAAAAAATGTGGAATAAGAGCCTTGAGCTTGCATGGCGATAAACCACAGGAGGAGCGAACTCGGATCCTTCAGTCATTTTTAAATGGTGAATTTGAAATAATCGTGGCTACTGGAATTTTAAGTAGAGGATTGGATTTGCCTGGTGTCAACATGGTAGTGAATTTTGACATGGCAACAACAGTTGGTGAATATGTTCATCAAGTTGGTCGTGTTGGAGGAACGGTCAATCAAGGTTGGGCGATCACTTTTATCAATGAGGTAGGCATTAAAAGGAACCTATATTGGAAAATTTTCCGGGTCGAAATTGCTTTATTAAAATTCTCCGTGATCAATATAGGATAATAAAAATCTTTTCAAAGAGTTTGTCACACTGTTGAGAGCACAGCCCTCAGGTCGAGTGACCCCTTTACCATCCAAACTGCTTAACCATGGATACACTTTATATGGAAATAATAAGGGCAAGTGACAGGTACTTCAAGTAGTCGATGTACGTGCTTGGGTTCTTAATCTACCATCATTGAAAATGTAATTTGCCAAAAAATCGCATGAAAACGTAGATTGTATTAGAAATACTTCGATGAAGTATTATACAATAGTGTCTTTATGGATTTAAATATCAAATAATAATAAAAATAATAATACATCTGTCAGAAATTTCTTGAGAAATTTCACAAACGATCTCCAGTTAAGTTTTCGTTGCGAGTTTGAAAGGCAGCATACTGCCGAACAGAAAATGTTGAACGATTGGAAATTTCTGGAGCACATCTGCCACATACATCTTTATCAATCCAGTATTAACTTTGGTCCAATTTGGCACCCCGGAAATATCGTACAATAAAGGAGAATGTTCATGAAAGGGTCCTTTTTTGGTCTAATCAAGTCGTTAGAAGTAAGAAAAGATTACATCGGGGAAAAAAAAACTTTCATCAAAATAGTAAAAATGTGAACCTCGTGAATATATTTAATACAGCCAAAGTATATGTATTCATTCGAGTACGCATTCACGAGGTCTTCAGACAGGATGGATTTTGGCTTCAAACGCTTGTGATCTAAAAACACATACACGTCATATAAATATAACCCATTTTGATTATGCTCGGCAGAAAGTTGGTGCAAACATTCAAACCTCGCAATTGTGCGCTCCCCCAATAATAAGATAAGAATTGATGATCATCCAAGCCCCAAACACCGTGACTACCTGCTGGTTCAAGCATGTAAACGCGTTGCAGACATCTTACGAGATCCAAATATCTTAAGGAGATCCAATTTTGTCAAAGAATCAATTATTTGAAATTCAAGCAGGCTGACCGGCTCGGATAAACACATTTAAAATAAGAATGAATATACTTTGTGAATACTCTCAACACCAACGCCGTGTTGTCCTGTTCTTGAAGTACTCTCGACAAATTCAAGCAACACAACCACGCGACAAAACTGAGTTCATGTCCACTTCCGTAATCGATGCGCGTACCATTCCCGAAACTTCCTGTAAAGTAGGGTACAAGTTCAATAATCATATTGTGATATTGAGATGGAAGAATATCTTGATGAATGGTAACAGCGTTCTGAGGAGAAAGAAAATTAGAGAGGAGAATGATTAACTGAAATTTTTTCTCACACGGAGGTCGACAATATTCTCACAGAAACGATTTGCTCACTTGTTCCATGCGAGCAATCCAATTCCTAAAAGCTTTATTGCCAAATCTCTGAGGTGTTGGTAACGGCGGAATCTCGTCGACCCACGACATCATGGTATCCAGAGAATTTATTATTTTCTGTGTAATCTTTACTTCGATAGTAACGTAGAGTCAGATGCGAAATCAAATTCTAAGAGGTTATCAAAGAAATGCTGTATACCTCGGATATGAAACACGGATCAGAAATCATTTTGTTGACTCCGCTTTCATTTAGATTCTCAATGAACCTCATAAAACGCGAAAAGGCCTCAGAGTTAATCCATTCTGTGACATCTTGCTGTTCATTGATTCTTTTTGTGGGTACAATGAAAGTGTGTTCGGTTGATATTGTCGTGTTTTCTGCCATCGAACGTTAATATAAATGGAATCTCTGCATTGTGTCCGAATTTAAAGTAAACCTCGTTTATTTTTCCGTTATAAGTAGCCACGTGAGTACACTGCATAAAACAAACACGTATGTAAGTTGATATCATAATTACCACAATCTACTACATGGGCAGAAATTTCTTTCATGTTGTTGGATCGAATTCTCAGTCTTAAAGAATTCTCTGGGTTCATAATCATAGAGGACACGATCTTACAATCGGGTCGTTTGTTGATAAAAGAGTTCGTCAAAAGCATAACGAAAAATGAGTAAGAAGGCACAAAAAAAACTTACTTTGGAATTGAAAAGTAAGGTTGTTCACGTGTAATTCTTAAATTCGGCAGTAAGCGTAACTTGGTAATTCTTTGTGTTGAGTCGTCTCCTCAAAGTTTCCTCGACAACATAACAATCCAGCAAAGGTGCTTTTCCTACATCAAGTTGATTTCAGCAAGTTCAGAGTATCAAATAATCACATTTTTGGACTTTTAAAAAACAATTTATAGAATTGTCGTCGTGGACGCGTATTCACGGATAGGAGGGTATGACATGGACGATGATGAATCGAGCAATCCAAACGTACACTTCATAAAAAGTCTGAACAATATTTCCGAGATCGCAACGCTTGTTCAAAACCTTATCAACGAAGGCAAATATCATAGATCAGAATCGCCTAGTCCGAACAATGCCTAATAGATATATTTATGTTTACAGTGCCGAATTCCACATTGATTATTGAATCGTTAACACCTCTCCTTTTAATTTCCGTGTCATCGACATTGACCTTTTTAAAAAAAACATTAGACATGCTGACATCTTCAGGTATTTGAACGTTTTCCTATCTTCTCATCTCATCTGACGAGTCACCTGATGCCCATTTTCCTTGCCAGAAACGAACGCGGGTCGATTGATAGCCGCCTATCATTCGGATGTTCCAACCTACCCAATGGAGGAAACGATGGGACTGCTAAATGTTCGTAGTACACTTATACATCAGTTTGCGACCACGACGATTACCGTTAAAAGTGTCGAACAAATTCGCAAAAATCCAGTTCAGGGACTCTCTGGAGAATCTGAAAATTTGGTGAACGCCTGGATGAACCTTCCCGATTGTGGAGTATGCGTAATAGAACATCGAAAGAAGTCTGGAAAAGTTCTTTACGAAGTATGAGGGGTTTTATCATTATTATTCATTATCATAGTGTACGAAACTAAATCATTTTCCTTTTGCAAGACAAACATGTATCATATAGATGAATCCACCACTGAGCTGGTGATTCAACCTGAGAAGAATGAGTCGGTGAACGAAGAAGTCAATACGGTGGTAAGTAAAGGATTCATTGGTTTGTACATTGGTTGTATTGAATCTCTCAAACTTTCACAAACAGTCAGATCCCACAACGGCCAATTTACTGTTTAATCTATCACTGACGGAGGAGCAGAAAAAAGCAAAGGATGAAGTCATTTTACCATATGTTAAGATCCAAGGTGGGTATTACTATCAAACTTTATTAAATATACATATTTTATCTTGTGTAAACCAAATATCTAAAATACGCAGATCAATATGAAGAAAAGGGTTCACCCACTGCCGGAGGCGGAACAATCTTTTACGAACCCGATGATGCCGACGATTTTGACGAGGAGGATCCTGATGAAGACTTGGACATTTGAGTTGGACGTTCGCTGTGAATAAATTAATAATTTCGCTTTTTTGTAAAACCATAACTAGAAAATAGTTGGTCGAGTTTATAGGCAAATTTTTTTATTGGAAGGTAGAAACTCCCTCTTTCCATTGAAGCCCCGTTCCGAGCTAAATGACTCGCACTTCAATAGTTCCATTTCTACTTTTCCATTATTCACGAGTAATTTCAATATGGCCCTGGTCACAAAGAGGGTCATATTCAGGCCTCCCGAGTTGTCTAGCTTGATTAAATGAGATAACTTATCAACATTAGTCAATGCGTCTAACCCAACCTTCACCCCATCGATCTCAAATGCACAAGTGTCAGGTGTCTGTATGCTCGTCACAATTTCATCGGATGCCTTGATTGACTTGGCAATGTCTCTAAGCTTCTTGATATCCTGATCGGACAACACCAGTTCTATGTTAGGACGAATAGGTGATACCCGACCCGCCGAGATCACAGGCGTGGAAGATCCGGTCGGAGTAGTTGAAGCGGTAAACGAAAACGGAGATTGCGGAGTATTGTAATGACAGACGAGGTGAAAGTTATGCACCTCGATCAATAAGACATACACGGCACCCTCCCTATTCTTGTACATTATGTGACTCGTCATCCCGGTGGAAATGACATCACTCTCGTCCGTCGGCATCTCATCATGATTATTATTCTCTGGTAACAAAATGTTTGCTAACCGGATATCTTTTAATCGGAATAATATCTCGTTCTTGGCGCTATCATCCTTGGCGAATCCGTTCACAGTTAACGTTGAGGCCAATAGTTTTTCGGTCAATCCTTTTAAAAGATAAAAACGCGAGTCCTTGAGTAAATTTTGTCTATGCACCTCATCTTTAATCTCAATGTCGTATCCTTGAAGGTATCGCAAGATGTCGGCAAAAAGCTCTGGATCACGATCGAGAATTGGCGGTGGTATAGCCGGAGGAATCGCGATAAGTGGAGCAGTTGCTGGCGGCTCCCAACTGTGAACAAAACCTGAAGAGAATTAATTAAGATTTCGCGGTTACTCGCGGGACAGCCCGAAGGAAAAAAAACACGACACGCTTGACGTATAAAAATATTAACCAAACGATGTGAAGAAATTCGGGGCATCTCGCTTTTCTAGAATTTCACGTTCGACGCGAAATACCTTCCCGCCAACATTCACAACACAATATGCCCTCAACTGAGCTTTCAGTTTCGGCAAACAGTAATACTGAGCATCGATGTATAGGTCCGTGAAATGAACCTACTTTCATTGGAAGATGAGTAACATAAGCAAGTGAAGTTCGTCACGGTTATGAGATAAAGTTAAACAATGTTCTACCTCATCCCGAGGTGTGATATAGTATCCCTGTAAATGTCTCACCTATTTAAAACGAATAATCGTTATGCTTCACTTTTAAACTTTAAAATTGCATCGATAAGAAAATTTTACCACTCACAATGTCCGAAAAGATGACAGGATCCCTTTCGATATACATTGTCTTTGTCATAGCCTCTTCCAAGGATGAGGAAAACACGTGGGTAAAATGGTTAGGGGCATCTGAATACAGGGCTCTGGTAGACAACTTGAAGGTCCTATCGCCCACTACCAAAGTGTAATAGCCAGTCGAGGGAGTGCAGTTCCGCGACAGATCCGACATCACTTACATTCGTATTATGATGGGACGGTCGGTTGCTAGCCTAAATTTTTGTTGAGCGTCGTGCACGTGATGATCGAAAGTAAGCGTGCGTGCGTACGTACGTAAGCACCTTCAACACACACAGGTTGCGATACGCATATACATAATATCCATCTTTGGAAAAACCCAACAAAGTTCTCTCTGTCCAAGTCCTTGTCACTCCTCCTTCCCAAGAACTGAAATAAAATGTCCAATTGTTCCTCTGACGACGAGTTTGAAAAGCTCGAGCCTACTTTACAGAATGTGTTGGATCAGAAATCGCTGCATTGGATTTTCGTTGGTGGAAAGGGTGGTGTTGGTAAGATCTAAAACAAACAATCTGCGATTTCACCCTTGCTCTATTGGTTCATGCGCACCAAACATGACTCAACTTTATTGAATAATGAATGCAACAGGTAAAACGACCACCTCCTGTTCTCTCGCCGTACAACTGAGCAAAGTCAGGGAGTCTGTTTTACTAATATCCACAGATCCGGCACATAATTTGAGTGACGCCTTCGGGCAAAAGTTTAGCAAAGAGGCCACGTTGGTGGATGGGTTTACAAATTTGTACGCCATGGTATCGTAAGACTTTACATTACAGATCAAAAGATGTCGTTACTGCTGAAAGGTCAAGTAATGACGAAGCATTCTTCCTTGTAGGAAATCGACCCAACCTCATCAATTCAAGAAATGCTAGCTCAATGTAATGTTTTCATGTTACCCTCTAACAGTATACGTGTACATGCATTATCTTATTAAAAGCAATCCTCCGAAAATCAGCTGAACAGCATGCCATGGGATCCATGATGCAAGATCTTGCGTTCGCCATTCCAGGTGTTGACGAAGCAATGGGATTTGCAGAAGTCATGAAGTAAATAAACTTGATAATTTTACTGGATGGGAGGGAGAAATTAGTATCTCTTTCTGGTGCATGCACGTGTGCACGTTTAACAGAGAAAAAATTTTTTCATTAAAAAAAATCATCTATCAGGCAAGTAAAAACGATGGAATATTCGGTAATCATTTTTGATACGGCGCCCACGGGTCATACTTTACGATTCTTGAGTTTCCCCAGTGTTTTGGAAAAGGCTTTAGAAAAGATTTCACAATTGAGCGGACGGTTTGGACCAATGTTTCAGCAAGTAAGGATATATATAATGAAGGAAGGAATGAATGAATGAATGAATGATGAATGAAGGAAAGAAATGATTCATAGTTATTGAACAGAATGGCCTGACGTTTAACACTTCTCGATCTTACTTTAGATGTCCGGGATGATGGGTCTCAATGCCAATCAAGAAGACATGTTTGGGAAACTCGAAGGAATGCGAGCTATCATCACGGAGGTTAACAATCAATTCAAAGATCCGGTAAGTCATATTCGAACTCCATGTTTTGAGACGTGAGAAAAAATTTTGACATTGCCTTTCTCACGCAAACTTAGGACAAGACGACGTTTATCTGCGTGTGCATTCCCGAATTCTTGTCTCTCTTTGAGACCGAACGCATGATCCAAGAGTTAACCGCATATCACATTGACACTCACAATATTGTGGTAAATCAACTATTGTTTCCACAAAAAGGTAAAGTCTTATGATTATTCATTCGTTCTGTCTGCGCTATCAATCATGGTTCAAATCTAACGTACTGGTCACCCAACACGCTAGGTTCTAATTGCGAACATTGCATTGTTCGAAACAAGATGCAACGAAAATATCTGGATCAAATTTACGACTTATATGAAGATTTTCACATTGTGTTAATGCCACTTTTGACCAAAGAGATACGCAAGACAGAGGACATCAAGGAGTTCTCGAAAATGTTGATTGAACCGTACGTGCCACCGGATCATTTATCAATGGATGATGGTCAATGAAGGCGGATTTGTAACGAAGTCATTCGCGGAAGTTGCCCAAGCAGGTGAAACCGATTGACAAGAAGTCAGACACGTCATCAGTAACAATATAGAATTCATCAGTACATTAACAAAGATTATAACTGAATTATATTATTACAACAATCAAGATTAATTATTGTTGAAAGCAACTTTACATAAAATTATGTATGTATTTAGTCTTACCATAAGAAACTATTAATTTTTCTTTATAAACCGTGATAAACATTAATAAAAGTCATGATCTAATATGCAATAAAGGTGATATAACCTTTAAGTTGCAACTAATAAAATTTCTGGGTGTCTTACTCTAATACAATGCAAACTTGAGAAATCTGTTCGTTTTTCGAAATAATCAACAATAACGACGTCAGGGATTTTACTATTGGGACAATCAGTTTTGAATTGCTCACCCCTGAGATAACTCCCTAGCTTACTGTTGTTGCTTTTGTGGCGATCACACCAAATTAATTTACGAGAAAATTAACGTGGTAATAACATACCTGCACTATATTAGGTGCTAATATTTAGTGAATGTTGTGACACGCCTTAAATACAATACAACAGAAACGAGTAAACCAATTAAATTGCTCGTGAAATTTTAAGTGATTTTGCGGGGAAATCTTAATGTACAATTTAAGAAATTAAGGAATTAAACGTTATTTTCCTTATCAGTACGCGGAAAAATCCGACTCGTCAACTCTTCACTTTAGCAGAATACATCTGCTGTTTACGGGAAGATTCACGAAAAAGAATTCGTTCAAAGAATTTAATCACTCATCGAAAATGCAAGGCTTATGCACTGTAAGAAAAAAAAACAAAAGCACAAATTCGGATGGTAAAAAAAAAAAAAAAAACAAAAACACATTTGAGTTTCAGAAGTAGTAATTAAAAAAACAAATGCACAAATCAAATGCAATCCAATGAAATGTAAGTAGAATGGTTATTCGATTCGAAAACGAAGATCTCATTAATGCAATTCAAAAATAATAGAAAGTACTTGTAATAATGCCACGGGATCTTTTTTACATGATAGTGCATACTTTCCACCCACTGACAAAATTATAAATACTCTTATGGAATACACGCTTGAGAAGCGAACCCTGTTGCGAGTGAAAATCAACAACAAAAAAAAAAAACATTTTTCTACGACATCAGCATCCATTTTGGCTGGCACCAAACCGTTTTTCTTTTAACGAACAGCCACGTAAATTTTTTGATGAGAAACCTTTCTTAGTGATTCAACTCACGAACACGAATCACAAGATTCAAATTGTAAAGACTTTATTATATTCTTCTTACGTGACCTACGATATCCAAAAATTATCTCGCAACCGGACCACCCAACAAAATGTCTGCCCATCTAATGACTCAAACCATCGCCACCACCACCTTTTCGTCCAATAATGACTTTGCATCTAACGACAATTTCGCCTACACCGTCAACTCGCCTACCAATCCTTCCTCGGTCAACAACAACTCTTTATACATCATGACGCGTAGGAAACTCATCTTCGGTACATGCAAAGGGTGCGGTAAACCGAATGACAAGTTCAACAAGTGTAATCCTTGTGAGGATTGGATCAATCAACAAATGGCTTATCTAAAACAAATGGAAAATTTGGTTGAGACAAGAAGATTGACAATCTGCGAACAAAAGTTGAAGATGTGCAAGATAAGAAAAGAACGTGATGACGGTGTTAACGTGAAGAAAGATGAATGTCAACATACGACAACGTTATAATCATAATAATCATCTCGGCTTAACCATTTATATAACTACATTATATATATATATAAAACACTGCATATTATTTGGAATAGGCATTAATTAATTCATTGATTAGTTATTTGGATAGGACCGATTGACCGAATGAATCAAATGTAAATGTTATCGCATGAATTATACTTGTATTTTTTTTTTTTTTTTTTATAATAAAAAAAATGATTTATCAACTACTGTAAATGTAAATATTGATTTTGCCATTTAGCGATTGGTGAGGGGAGGGTATTCTGGTGCGGGGTATTTGGTGGTACACTAATGTTTTTGTGATATAATGGAGCGCAAGTGAGAGAAGGTGGTAAAGTATTACGGTAATTTTTTGATTTCTCGCGGGATCAATATTACTCAAATTTTTATAAAAAGATTATATTATTTAAAAAATTATTCATTTCATTGAAAAATATCTGATAAAACCAATATGATTTTATTATAACTTTTTAATTACCCAGTAAAATTCGATATAACATAATCCTAGGGTAATTAGTAAAAAAATTAGAAAATTTCATTATAGTGAAATTTTTTTAAATTTTATTATTAAATTCATTATATCAAGATTATTTTATTATAGCTGTTTTTGAGTCTATTCCACTATATTGAGATTTTTATATATTTCCACTATATCAAATTTCACTGTATATATTTTTTATAATTTTTTTTTTTTTTTAAATTTAATTAGCTAGTAGATTATTTATTTATTTTATATATGTATTCCTTGTATTATAAAATTTACTATTTATAAACTATTTTACATGTCACTAAATTATATTAATTTTACTTTATATTGGTTTGTTGTTGTCAATATTATTTCAGAGAAATATAGTTAAAACTAATGTATCAAAATTTCATTAATATTGTTATTATATATAAATTAATTTGTTCTATTTAATATTATAAGAATTAAAAAGAAATTGAAATATAAGAAACTGATAATAATACCTATTTCTGGCAAATAAAATATTAATTGAACAAATTTTTTAAATCTTATATCATATTATTTTCTAAGTCACTTAAACAATCAAATATTTATATTAATTAATTGCTCATAAATTATTTCAGCTATTAAAACTTATTACAATAGTCCAATTTAAAAAAACAATTGGTAAAACAATTAAAAATAAAATTTTTATAATAATTTCTATAAAAAGAAATATTATATATTATAAGAAATAAATTAACAAACTATTATTATTTAAAATCATATATCTTTAATACTTTTATATTTTTTGTTAATTATTATAACATTAATCAAATAATTATTATATTATAATACTTTTTATAATTAAATTATAATTTTAATACTTACTGAATCAATATATGAATTAACTTTTTATAGAAAATAATACTTAACAGATTATAATATTAAATATCATTTTTAATTCAATTCAACTATTTTTACTTGAAATTAAATTAATATCTTATAATTTAAATTTAAAAATACCAACTACTATACTATTGACTTATAAATTTTATGTTTTTATAAATATTTATTATTAATTTATTATTTTATAATAATATTCAAAATACTTATTTTGAAATAATTTGTATAAATAATTAAAATTAAAGATATAATATTATTCAAAAAATCTAATATTAAATAAAAATCTTTATTTTATTATTTTTTTTTAACAAATATTAAACATTATAATTTATTACTATTACATTTATAATTTTTAGATAATAAATCAATTAGAGCTTACTATATACAGTATAAGTAATATATAAAAACTTTAAAAATTCTTATTAAAAAAAAATCTTTTTTCTTTTATTTTTAGAATTTATTAAAAACAATTTTATATATTTATTAAAAAAATCTAATAATAATATATTAATAGAAAAAATAATACAAAAATTTTATATATAAATATTTTTGAAATTTTTTAAAATTAAAATTTTGAAGTATTAAAAATTGATTCCAAGTAAAATTTCATTAAAATTATTATAATTTTACAAATTTTTAATACAATAAATTTAAAAATTTGTTGATTTAATATATATCTATATTTTTAATAATTTTTAAATTTTTAAATTTAAAGCTTTTTTTTTTATAATATTAAAAATAAAATATAAAAACTTATAACTTTATAATTTTAAATATAATAAACTTAAAAATTAAATAATAATAAACTTAAAATTAATTAATAACAAATATAATAATATATTTTTTAATAAAAATTTTTTTTATAATAAAAAAGAATAAAAAAGAAATATTCTTATAATTATTAGATATATACAAAGTTCACAAAAAAAAATAGGTGATTTATTTTTAAACCCCTTTTATCAATTATTTAATAATTGTGATATCTTAATTCAAAATTTTGTACACCCGATCAACCAATCTTTTTGGCCATATCTGTAAGATCCGTTTTAGGATGTAAATGATGAATTTAGAAATAAAGTTGCCTTTTTAACTACGTAACATATCAGTGCCTTTTTAACTACGTAACATATCAGTACATGTATCACCCTCACGTGTATAAAATTTCGGGCGGTATGCGTAACTTACAACATAAAATATGTTAGATTATGTCGTAAAAATGTATAATTTTTTTATTTTTGTAACAATCGATCGTTATTATAGAATACGGGGACAAGGTAACATTTATGAAAATAGGAATATGCAGCAAGCATGATTAGGACTGTGCTTCGTATCATTCGAAAGATAAAATAACTGATGATTCAAAACAAGAAATCTATGCTGATTATTATGCATATGCGTATACTTTGTAAGCAGTGATTTACAGATAATCATGCATAAGGCCTAACTAGTATAGAATCAAAAAATTAACTGTTCACTTCGCCACGAAATGACGAAATATTTTCCTCTGATTATGCGTAATACAGACTTCGTTGTAAATTCCTTGAGACAAATTTAGATAATCTTTGTATGCCAACGTTCAAAAAAAACCCCCATTTCCCCAGGTAAACCAATTATTTAGGTGCTTACGTAGGCGAGTACGTAGTGTGCACGTAACGGGTTAGTTTCCTCCTTGATCACCCCCTTCATGAGGGTGCTGTTGCCCAACAAGTTTACATTCACCATTATCATCAGTTAACATGTTTCTTCCAAGAAAAAAAAAGAAAAAGAAATGGTTTCCCTTCCGCAAAACATTCCTTTTTGTTTACAAACACAAACATATTGCTACGCCAATTCATGGTCAACGTATTTTTTATTTATTTTTTATTTTATTTTTTATTTACTGTTACCCGAAATCCTCTTTTCATTATTTTCATTCTTGGTAAATTTATTTTGTGACAATGTCTTGCTAACGATCATTATTGAAATCTTTGATATTTGTAACATATTTGGATAAAAAGATCCACCATACAATACCTGTAAAGAAAAATCAAAAAATTTCAACATGGTGAGACTGTTGTATTCACATCGGTTTTTTACTAAAACCGTTTCCATTAGAAATTTAGAACAAAGGAGCAACTGTTTTTGGTAACATACGGAGATAAGAAAAATTCGAGTTTCAGGAAATGGTATTTCTAATATTCGCGCTTTAAAAGGATGGCTCAGAACATGCATGAAATATATTTCAGATGACGAGAAATTTGAGAAATTTCCCAAAGTTTAAGTTTAATTTATTGCGAAGTACATACACCCGAACCTTCTCCATCATTGAGCACAATCGGAATTAAAACAGTAATGATTTTTGATGGCGCTGTAGGTTTGATTTTGATAAGATAAACTCCAGTTGAATGGAGTAACCGAATATAAATTTGTGTGTGTGTATGAGAAAAAAAAATTCAGACCCGATCCAATCCTCACCTGATGTGTATATCAAATCCCTGAAATTTTCTTGTATAAATAAATGAATTATTTATTATTGGAATAGATCTAATATCAGACCGTATTCATCGTTACACATCGTTTTCCATCTAGTTGTTTCATTTGCACGCTATAAATCTCGATTCCCACAGTCTTTTTTAAAAATCATTGACGTCTTTTTTTTTCTTCTCCAACTCCGAATCCACGAATAATTTAATCATTTTTCCACAAAGATAATCTTCGTTTTTTGCGTATGAAAAGTTGATTAGAGATGATGACCGATCAACAAAACACACAAAATTACGGTTCAACCCAACAGCAACCCGCTTCTGCTACGACCACACCAACTTCAACCATCGATGACAGTTATCAACATCATAAATATGTATCATATCCAGGATATCATGATGAGGAAGAAGAGGAAGAAAGAATTTTCTCTGCGTTACTCAAAGAACATCTTTTAGCAACACCCTTTATTTTCTGCATTTTATTCTCCTTCATGCTCTTGTCATACGCCTTTCAAGTTAAGTTTGAGCCAGTCGATGTTAATCAATTAAAATGGAAGGAATTCATATTAGGAGCTTCCGGTTGGTGCTTGGCGTTCCTCATAAGGAAACCTTTATCCATCATCTTCCACAGATTGGAGAGGGTGGGTGCATCTATCGGTCCAATTCTGTTATTGTTTTCCATTGGATTGATCGAAGAGGTTTTTAGGCTAGGATGGCTGCGCCACATTGCACTGGAGTATTCGGACGAAAGTCATTTTTTGGCCGCCTATTGGCTGGGCATAGGTTGGGGGACTGCGGAGGCGATTTGTTTCATTGTACAAAACTTCATGGGGGTGGAATGGTACAGGTGTAAATTATATAATAAATACACAGAAGAAAGACAAGAAATAGAGGAGATATTGGGCAAGCCTTTGACGACAATTTCGGCTTGGTGGGGTGTCATGTGGAGAACCTCTTGGACAATGGCTCATATCGGCTTCAGCTGCTGGATAACATGGAATTGCTGGTTATTCTTTCCGGCCGCCATAATTCACGGTTTGCTTGATGTTGTTTGGGGCTACTGTCTTCCGGTGTTTGACATTCCGGCCACCAGCTATGGCACTTTTATAATTACCTTATGCACATTCCTGGTCGGCTTGGCATTGTTTGGTCAAATTATTTAGATTTCAATGATGGAGGAACGCTTGAAGTGGAAAAGTTGATGTCATGAAAAAAAGGCGATGGACATACTATTATTCTCAGCGTTTAAATATCAATCAATCCTAGACTCAAAATATATCAGATTCGTCATTCTTGCAATATTCCTTTATTTTCTCCTCAACTCTTGAATACCTATTGGTTCAACTATTGTAATATATTTCTAAAATTCAAAAAAAAACAAACTCTTGTATTTGTACCGCTACAGCGGGAAAAAAGTGAACCATCTGTTTTCGAAATAAAGAAAAAAACCTTTCTATTGTAACACAGTTAGAAACACGTGTCGTGGCGTAGTAAGAGTTAGACAATCAATATATCATATATACTTTCTAAGATTATTTTTTTAAATGTATGTAAATTTTTTATAATAACTATTATAATCTCTGAAAACCAAATACATCAATATACTGTATATATATATACTGTATATGCAGAATATTGTATGTGTTTAGAAATTCTAATTAAAGAATATTAATATTGTAAAATTTAACTAATTCAACTAAATGCAATACAATCTTAACTCCTTATTAGATAACTTTTAAAAATTAATATGAACTTGCTGAAAAAGCTTATCATATACAATATTAAAGTTTCAAAGAGATTGCACGAGTACATCGTAATGCGCAACAATACTTTTTATAAACTTTCCTTAAAAATTAGACTTTATTAGCTTCATTTTCACATACCATATGTACTTTGTTATGGATATATTTGGAAAGACTCCCTTGTGTATTGAAAATCATGGCATGTTTTCGTTTTTTTTTTTTATTATGTCTCATCTGATTAGATTTTAGAATTATTACGACCCCGTGCAGGCTTGGCCCGTGATTTACATAACCCAGCCCATTTAAAAACTAGTCCAATGTGGAAAACCTTATTTTAATATGCGTGATGATAATCATGCCTGCAATGTTTCATATAAAAAGTGCTTAAACTTTGAGAACGCGAGATAGTCGTAATTCAGCTATCCTCGTGACCATTTCCTGACTTGAGATGTAACATATTTGATATTAATCGTTCACTTCAATTTTACACTTTGCACGCACAATAAAAAATTGATACGGCAAATAAAATGAATAACCTAACTCACTCACTTTCAAGTTTTTATTAATATCATATGTGGGCGTGCAATATACTGGCGTGATGAAGCAGTTTACAGTATTTCAATGCTAAAAATCTGTAATATTTTAAAATAATTCGATGGATTTTGAAAAGTAATAGAAAAGTATTTAAAAAAGTTATAATATCATTTTTAAAAAATATTATTACTATATATAATTCTATATATGAAAAAAAATAAATAATACAATTTTACAAATATTGCAAGTACAATATATTAAAAAAAAATTTTTTTTATTTTTTATCACAAGTAAATCTCAAAAAAATTAAATCAATTAATAAATCAAATAAGATCTTAAATGTCAAAACAAACTTATTGAATTTAAGATTTGTTTTAATATATTTTTTAATAATAATAATAATAATTAAAAGAATAAAAAACATCAAATAAAAAATTTTCTTTTGTTATTATTTATAAAATTCTCAATAAAATCAATATACAGTATTAATTGTAAAAATTTTAAACAAATTATTGATACTTTCAAAAAAAAAACAATATATTTTAATATTTAATTTTAAATATTAATAGAAATTAAAATTATTATGAAAATTAAAAAAATATTTTTTATATAAAAAAAAACTCTCACCCGTTCACCACTGATTTCTTGAAAATTTCCTTATATGGTAATTTTCTTGAAAGAAGCGCTTTCC